ATATGGTTTAAAACGCATGATTTCAGCGCGATAAACATGATAATCAGAACCAAAACAGATGTTTTTAGCAGATACCAGCTGTAATGGCGCAGCTCTATTCTGGAAAAGAGGGTGGGGAGCCGCAGCTAATTTGCATTTAAAGACACAGGCCCAAAAAAAAGGCGTGTTTCTGCTTCCACTCAAAATAGGCATTTTCAAAATGCTATAATAAATGATCTGTTGAGTATTTTGAGGTGAAACTTCACAGACACATTCTGGGGACACCAGAGACTTATATTACATATTGTAAAAAGGGGCATAATATGTATTTTTAGTTTCTATATTTTTAAAGTTGATGAAAGAGAGTGTCTGATTGACAGGTGTGATGAGAATGCCCGTTGTGGCCTCTCGGTGGGAGGAGCGGCACGCTGTGCCCTGTGTGTGCCCTGCGCCCTGCGTCCTGATCGGCCTTGCGGGTGTGTGTCAGGTGGCATTGCCATGTTTTGCCCTCTGCCCCGCACCCCGCAGCAATGCAGACCCAGCTTGACTGTGACAGGTCTGTGGGTGTGGAGTCACATGACCTGCCGGGCTCTTGAGGTGTCTATTGCAATTAGACTGCCTCTCTCAGGCTGACAGAAAACGGCAGCCGTATTGTCTAAGAGGAGAGGGGAACAAGGTGATGAGTGCAGAAAAATCAAAGAGGAAAAAAATGGGGGTCCACAGTATCACATACGTCCCTGACATATCTTCTTCCTTTTTTCTTTCCTCAGGTCAGATTCTGCACACAGATGTGGCGGATGTGGCGTGTCCTGCTAAACACAAAGAAGCAGAAAACCTGCGCCATCTTATGTTCAAACACAGGTATTGCAACCACAACGATAACTGTTTTTTATGCTTAAGGCTGCATTTATTGAATCAAAATACAGTAAAAACAGCAATATTGTGAAATATTATTACAATTTAAAATAGCTCTTTTATATTTTAATATATTTAAAATTGTAATTTATTCTTGTGATGGCAAAACTAAATTTCAGCTGTTTTAGCTACCAGTATTTTTTGCTTCTTAATATTTTTGGGGATACGATTCAAAAGTTTGGGGTAAGAACGTTTAAAAAAAATAATGAAATAATACATTTATTTAGCCAAATTTATCAAAAGTAACAGTAAAGACATTCATAATGTTACAAAAGTTTTCTATTTCAAATAAATGCTGAATCCTGAAAAAGCACTGAAGAATGGAGTAACGGTTCCTGATATTTCTGCTTTGCCATCACAGGAATAAATTACATTTTAAAATATATTTAAAGTGTAAAACAGTTATTTTACATTGTAATAATATTCTACAATGTTACTGTTTTTACTGTTTGTTTGTTTGTTTTTTTCCGTTGAAATAAATGCAGCCTTGGTGAGCATAAGATACTTCTTTAAAAAGCTCTTTAAACATCTTAAATATTTCAAACTTTTTACCTATAGTGTGTATATATTTGAGTAACTTAATTTTTTTCCCCCACAGCTGCCAAACAATTGTAATAGGAAATGGCAAAGCATGCAGGGAGACTGAGGCCTTCTTTACAGACCTAATTAAACAACGCTTCTTCAAGCCCCTCGATGTGTCCTACTGGTATGACATTTCCCTTTTTTAAATTACAGAGCAGAGCAGTGAGCAGTACAGCAGATGTTGTTCTTCTGAGAGTTGCTGAGCAGTTATTGGCTTTGGTGTAGAGATGAAAACTGCATTTGTTTGAGGTCACATCAAGCTCCTGTACAGTCTTAGTGCAATTGCAACTTGAAATTTGAAAATGTTTTATCAATAAACTCCACTAAGAGTGAAAATAGCAACTGTCAAGCAAGGTACGCAGAAAAGGAGCAAAGGAAATGGTGCCGGTCTGGAATGTGTTACTCTTGCGGGTTTTAAATGGTATCTGGACCTTGTTTGACTGTCTCTAATTAAAAACAAATATTTCTCACCGTCCTTCAAACCAAACCAGTCCGATGTGTTCTCATCCAACCCAAATAAAGACTAGATCTGGGATTGTCTCTCTCTCCATCTAGCTAGACTCGTGTTTGTTGACTTTTGGTTCTGACTGGAGAGCTGCCCAGAACCGTCAAAATGCTATAATAAATGATCTGTTGAGTATTTTGAGGTGAAACTTCACAGACACATTCTGGGGACACCAGAGACTTATATTACATATTGTAAAAAGGGGCATAATATGTCTCTAATGAACTTTTGACTCTTAATGAACTGTAATTATTTTTAGTTTAGTGTAGCATATTTTGATGAAGTAGAGTATCTGATTGGCAGGTGTGATGAGAATGCCCATTGTGCCCTCTCGGTGGGAGGAGCGGCACGCTGTGCCCTGTGTGTGCCCTGCGTCCAGGCGACTGATCGGCCTTGCGGGTGTGTGTCAGGTGGCATTGCCATGTTTTGCCCTCTGCCCCGCAGCAGCACCACATGCAGACCCAGCTTGACTGTGACAGGTCTGTGGGTGTGGAGTCACATGACCTGCCGGGCTCTTGAGGTGTCTTTTGCTATTAGAGTACCTCTCTCAGTCTGACAGAAAATGGCAGCCGTATTGTCTGAGAGGAGAGGGGAACAAGGTGGAGGCGATGAGTGCAGAAAAATTAGAGAGGAAAAAAATGGGAGTCTGCAGTACCTTCATGATGATAACATATTGTTAAGTTGATGTCCACATAAAATCTAGTCACATACGTCCTCTGCTGTCCTGACATATCTTCTTCCTTTTTTCTTTCCTCAGGTCAGATTCTGCACACAGATGTGGCGTATCTCCATGGTCCTGCTAAACACAAAGAAGCAGAAAACCTGCGCCATCTTATGTTCAAACACAGGTATTGCAATCATAATGATAACAGTTTTTAATGCTCATTAAGGCTGCATCTTTTCTTTTTTTTTATTAAAATACAATAAAAACAGTAATATTGTGAAATATTATTACAGTTTAAAAGAACTGTTTTCCATTTGAGTGTATTGTAAAATGTAATTTATTCCTGTGATGGCAAACCTGAATTTTGAGCTGCTTCAGCTATCAATGTTTGTGCTGATTAATATTTTTGGGGATACACTACCATTCAAACATTTGAGGTAAGAAAAAAAAAATTATAATAATACTTTTATTTAGCAAGGACACACTAAATTGATCAAAAGTGCCAGTAAAGATATTTATAATTTTACGAAAGATTTCTATGTCAAATAAATGCTGTTCCTATGAACTCTCTATTCATCAATGAATCCTGAAAAATGTAGCGTTTCCACAAAAATGCTTAATCTTTTCAACATTGATAATAATAAGAACCATTTTTAATATAATAAATGAGCGTCAAATCATCCAATTAGAATGATTTCTGTAGGATCATGTGACACTGAAGACTGAAGTAATGGCTCCTGAAAATTCAGCTTTGCCATCACAAGAATACATTAAATTTTAAATTATATTTAAATAGAAATCTACTTTTTTTTTTTTTACGTTTTAATATTTCACAGTATTGTTTTTACTGTTTTTTATTTGTTATTATTGAAATAAATGCAGCCTTGGTGAGCATAAGAGACATCTTTATAAAGCTCTTTTAAAAAATCTTAATTATTGCAATTTTTTGACCTGTATTGTGTATATATTTGAGTAACTTTAAAAAATTTTTTTAACAGCTGTCAAACTATTGTCATAGGAAATGGCAAAGCATGCAGGGAGACTGAGGCCTTCTTTACAGACCTAATTAAACAACGCTTCTTCAAGCCCCTTGATGTGTCCTATTGGTATGACATTTTCCTTTTTTAAATACAGAGCAGATGAGTGAGCAGTACAGCAGATGTTGTTCTTCTGAGAGTAGCTCAGCAGTTATTAGCTTTGGTGTAGAGATGAAACCTGCATTTGTTTGAGGTCACATCAGGCTCCTGTACAGTCTTATTGCAATTGCAGATTGAAATTGGAAAGTTTTATCAATAAACTCAACTAAGAGAGAAAATAGCAACTGTGAAGCAAGGTACGCAGAAAAGGAGCAAAGGAAATGGTTTCGGTCTGGAATGTGTTAAAAATGTTTTTAAATGGTATCTGGACCTTGTTTGACTGTCTCTAATTAAAAACAAATATTTCTCACCGTCCTTCAAACCAAACCAGTCCAAAGTGTTCTCATCCAACCCAAATAAAGACTAGATCTGGGATTGTCTCTCTCTCCATCTTGCTAGACTCGTGTTTGTTGACTTTTGGTTCTGACTGGAGAGCTGCCCAGAACCGCTCTGAAGTGGCCGTTTATGGCGTACACTGATGGCGGTTTTCATTACAGCTCTCCGCATCCCTCAGCGCAGCTCAGATTGGTTGCCAGGTCTGCCTCAGTAGTTCTCAGCAAAGCATGATGTGTCAAAATTGACATCCAAGGCGTTCCACAAGTGGATCCATTTCAACCTCCATTCTAAAATGAAAGTGGAAGATTTGAGATCTCCACATTGGCAGTGCAACATCGACTGCCATGCCAGGGTGTGCCAGACAGTTTGTTTTCTGTCATGGTAGTCACAGCCAAGTATTTGTAGAAGCAGGGTGCTAGTTGAAATAAATTACACTTATAAAATTGCATACTTAAATGTTCCCTTAAGTGGAGAAATTGATCTAGTATCTTTAGTTGTGTGAAATGCTCAGACACTCCGCAAAGAAAGAATATCAAGTGGTTACATTTGTATGAAAGCATTATTTCATATTTTACAAAATCAGAGTCTGGTGGTGTACACTGTACAGTATCATATGAAAGTAGTTAGTTAAAAGAGACATACAATATATGCCTATTTTAATATACATTTTATTTTAATTTCTATTCATATTTTACCTTAATGTCCACTTATAAAAAAAAATGTATTAAAAATAATGAAATATTCAAATAATTTTTATGCCAGTTTTTCACAGTTTGTCTGACTTTTGAAGTTTCCTTTTTTTTTGGTACTTGCCTCTTACTGAACTCTTACTGAATAATTCCATTGTACACTTGTAAACATACATAGATCTGACTGACTTTTGTGCATTGTACACTACCATTTAAAAGTTTGGGCTTTTAAGTACCAGCATTTTAGACTTTGTAATGTTTTTAAAATAAATCTCTTATGTTCATCTAGACTGCATTTATTTGAAAAAAAAAAACAAAAAAAAAAACAGAAATATTGTGAAATATTATTGCATTTTAAATAATTGTTTTCTATTTTAATATATTTTAAAATTTAATATATTGCTGATTTTTTTAACAGTAATTACTCCAGTCTTCAGTGTAACATGATCCTTCAGAAGTTATTCTATGCTGACTTGCAGCTCAAGAAACATTTTTATAAGTATCAATGGTGTTGATGGTTGTGCTGCTTCATTTTTATTCGAAACTGTGATACTTTTAAAAAAAAAGATTTTTTGAACTTCAAAAGAACATCTTTTGTAACATTGTACCCGTAAATGTATTTTTTTAAACAATTTAATGTGTCCTTGCTGAAAAACTGATCCCCAACTTTTGAGTGGTAGTGTAGATATGTTTTAGGTATATGTGTGTTTGGAAATATGCGAGTGTTTGTTTTTCCAGCACATCATTCCCTTTGAAAGTTCATCTCCACAGTGCACTTTGTACATAGTCAATTAAACCAGCAGCTTCATTTGCACTGTCTGCTATCTGTCTTCCCACTCTTCAGCTTGTTCAGGCATAAAACATCATCTGTTGCCTCCATCTACCATCACTCGCTCCCTCCTTCTGTCCCGACGTTCCCGCTAGCCGACTCCTTTCCTTTCTTTCGCCTGTCTGCTCCAGAGGATTGACAGGCAGTGCTGGCAGACTGTATGCGGTAATGTGACCGCATTCAACGACCTGGTGCTCTTCCTTTAAATGAAGGGGGATTCTTGCCTGTTAAATTGGTGGCATTGTTCCTTGCGAAAGGCCGGGTTAAACACTTACCTCTTGACATTTTCTTTTGGTTATTTCTATAATAATGCCTTTTTTTGGCTGAGGCCTTGATTGTTTTTTGTTTTTTTAAGAAATAGGAAAATATTGTCTTCACACAGAAATTTACTTGTGTGCAAGAGCGTAGAGTTACTGTAAGTAATACATTAGTGTATCCACCTCATTTTTAACATAAGAACTGATGCACTTGGATGTGTAAGGCTTATTTCAGCTCTACAAAAACAATCTGTTTTGCTGTTTGATATTGCAAACTGGTATTTGTTATTGTAATTCACACTCACATGGAGCCGAACATAACACGCAAGATGTGTATACATACAAACACACACACACTACACACACACACACACACACAGCATTAACTAGTTTGTTAATGCTGTCACATTTTCCATATTTAAATCAATTTGAATGTGTTAAATGTGTGTATATATGGTGTAGGTCTTATTTTTAATTAGTCTCTATCGGGATTGTTTGCACATTACCTGTGCTGTACATTGACCAGCTCACATGTGTGATGAAGAGTTGCCCTCTCTTTGAACTTTGTGGTTGTGTGCTCTAGTTGAGTCTGCTCCAGTATGTTAGCTGTGAGATTTACACCATGCTTTGAGCCTCTCCTCTGAAACCCCACTGTGTTGCGCCCTCCTCTGGCCCAGCACTCTTTACCGCCTGGTTCTTTTATCCTTCTAGACCGCTACAATGATTTAAACGGATTTGAATTATGAGTAAAGGTACAGATAATTAGCTTTGAACTGGGAGGTGGGAGATTCCTGGAATACAATGTCGGACTGTATGTGTGTTTTATCAGTATTGGTGTGTGTACACTGTATTTTTACTTCTCATGACTAATACATGCTCAAAGGGCCTCTAACATGAACCAAATCCAAAATGACCCAATAAAAGTTGACCTTGGTTGGCATGGCATCTTTATGCTGCTGGAAGAAACCATTGGCGCTTTGGTCATGGATTTGTCATAGCTATGTTGTGCAGATTTGGTTTAGGGGTTCATTACGTATTCTGTGCCATACAGAATTGATATTTGTTCATAAAATGTTGAGTTTGGAGCCATTGCACTCCTATTTAGTGAGTGTGATTTGTCCATTCTGTATTATATATTGTCTCCCTTCTAAGGAACATGTTTAGAAGGTGCTGCTCTGACTCCAGTCATTGCTGCTGTTTGGCCCTGACTTTGCCTCTCACCCCTGAAGGACAAAATGACATGTATCTTGCTTAACGAGGGAGCCTGTAGTGTTCCTGACTGTCTGGACAGTGATCTTGATACTGAGCTATGGCTACAGACTGATTGGACAGCGCTGTCAGTTCTTAATGTTGAAGACAGCGGCAGTGACCACCCTTCTCCCCTCAGGCTGGCTCTCTGCCACCAGTCGTCCAGTCTCTGGTCATTAGGCTCACTTTGCAGGGGAACACAGAATTACAGGAGCTCTCTACTCTATTCCTTTTTGTTAATTCCTTCAGTGCACACTGTTGCTGGGATCAGTTGTTAAGCATCACCTCTTCAGTCTTAACAGGAAAGAAATTACCACTTTCTGTAAATTATGAATAGAAGACTCATCTTTACTGTGAAGTTGTTGTTGTTGTTGTTATTAATAATAATAATAATAATTATTATTATTATTATTATTATTTCACTTTACCATGAATAAGCTGGCTGTAAAGGGCATGAATTGTATTATAATTGTATGGGCATATATAAGAAATAAATATATAACAAAAAATACATTACATAAATATAAGCTAATAATAATAATTTAAGCTTATTATGATTATTATTTTACTTTACCCGAAGCAAACTGACTCTAAAGGGGATGTACAGTATTATAATATATGACATATATAGGAAAAAAAAAAATATATATATATAGTACATGCCCTTTACATCCAAAGTGCTGCTGGTAAAGTGAAATCACTCTTTGCTGTAAGGTCTTGGATGACTAGAGTTTTGCATCAGGGAAGTTTGTCCTTTGAGGAGGATTCTGGGTAGGGTGATTAGGACAGTGAGGAATGAGGCGGAATATTTGCCAGTCACAGGCCCATGGCTAATGGCTCACTGAGGGATAGATGTCCGCATCACAGAGGACAGCCAAAACCAGTGGCTCCACGAGCAACTGTCTTGAGACCGCTAATTTTGATTGACTGCTGTTAATATATTGACATTTATGTTAATGTCTGTGCTTGGTTGACAGTGATGTGTCTTTTATTGATGTTATTGTGCCATCTTATATTTGCTATTAGATTTGTCTTAGCATCAAAGAGTAAAGCAGTCAGGATTTCAATTGAGTAGTATCTCTGTTGATCTACAATACATCCATTCCAAGTAGATACAATAGTTTTTGGAAATCCTTTTTTAAGTATTATATCTGTTAGGAAACACTCACTGATTCATAATAAAGCTATAAGACACTACACAGGCCATGTGTTAAGGTGAATTTGTTACAGTTGAAGAGATTTTATTAGACAATATGAAAATGGTAATCCCAATATGTGTTCAATCAGTAGTTAGATTTATAATAATCACAATAAACAATTCAAGTAAGTTTGTTTGCCTAAATCTAGGCTGTTTAAGGAGAAAAGGAGTTAAACAGGAGTTTTAAAAAGGAGTTTTCTATTTTAATGTATTGTGTTACATAAACTTTTGTTTCTGTGATGGCAAAGCTGAATTTTCAGCATCATTACTCCAGTCTTCAGTGTCTCATGATTTTTCAAATATATAGATAATAAGAGATTTTGGCATCTATGTTATGAGTTTATCAGACATGCAAGCTTCTTGCATTTAACATAAAGTTTCCAGAAGAATGGACATGAATACTGCAATGTCAC